CTCACTCTCTCCTTGTCACTATGAAGTGCCCTCTAGTGACTGTTATAAATCTATTAGCTTCACAAAGGCTCCCTCAGGCAGATGATTTGCTGAAAACCCAAGGCAGTTAACACAGTACACCTGCCCAAATGGCAGTGTTAGCATACAATCATTTAGAAGCAGAATAGGAAAAATAAATACTGAAATGAAAACAGAAATTGCTGGAAGAGCTCAGCAGGTCTGGCAGCATTTGTGGAGAGAAATCAGGGCTAATGTTTCGGGTCCAGAGACCATTCCTCAGACCCGAAACGTCAACTCTGCTGAGCTTTTCTACCAGTTTCCGTTTACGTTTCCATTTCAGATACACAGCATCCGCAGTTCTTTCGGTTTTTATTTTAGGAAAAATAAATAATCACTGAAGACATTCATTCAAAAATCAATTTGTAATTGCCAGCAGTCAATTGATTTGACAGCAATCAAATGTTTCTGCTAAACAAAAACCGAAAGAGCCCCACACACCAGGCCTTATCACATAGTCTGCCATTACACCCCATCCATTGTTAGCCACTAACAGTCCCCATTAATAGCTAATCACCTTCCTAGCCATATTGTTATCCACTCCTTTGTCTGTTAACCAACATTTTCCTAGCTACCTTCAGTTTCGAGGGAGGGTCACTCGACCTGCTAACTCTGATTTCTCTCCACAGATGCTGCCGGACCTGCTGAGCTTTTCCAGCAATTTCTGCAATTTTGTTTTAACATCAGCTCAACATGAAAATCAAGCCATTTCACACCAAAATGTTGGAGGTGAAACTCTGAATTTAGGTTACAACCATACTTCAGAGTAAAATGTATGGAATAAAAGCAAAAATCCTGAAGAGAGAATTTAAGAGATTTGTAAATCCGGTTACTGATTCAAGCCATATCCAATGGATTCTTTTGGACTCCTGGATTAAATTTGGGCAGAGAATACAGACACCAAATCCTACATCAGCTGGAGAGCTTAGCAGCAGCAACTGCTGGTCAGAGTTCTTTACATGCATGGAATAACAGGATTTTGCAGAGTTGCAAAATTCAACATTTGGCCAGGAAGTGTGAATAGCAACCCCCCCCAACTTGTTCCCCCACCTCCTAAAACCCTCCCCATACCAGGGCTGCCAACTCAACTACAGCCCCTGATGTCACATTGAGAAACACGCAACCAAAGATATGCTCACCCCCCTTCCTTTTGTGGAGTTACAAGAAGGGGTGAGAGGCAGTGTGTTCCACAGATTCACAGACGTCTTGTGATGTAGGCGGCCATTCGGCCCCAACATGCTCTTCAAACGGGCAGTATTACCTAGTGCCAATCCGCCGCCCTCTCCCCATACCCTTCCACGTTATTGTTTTAATCCGGACTGTCACCCAGTGAGGGGAAAATAAAACCTTCCATTTCAAACATCTAGGTGGTGAATGGAATGTGGGGAGAAAAAAAACTAGGCACCATCTCTTCATCTCTCCAGGCTGGTGCTGAGTAAAGCAGGTTACCTGCGGTAGATTCCTGACACTTGTCAAAAGACCATCGTACTTCCACAGCACGTCCTCGCTGCTTGATCTGCTGCTCCACTTCATAAATTTTGGCTCGGACCTAAAAAGTGTTAAAACAAAGTGTTTGAGCAAGGCCATGACATCTGCTGAAAAAAAAAACAAAAAAAAAAAAAAAAAAAAAAATCAGTCCTTGGTATGTTTCTGCAATATATTAAAGATCTTGAACAAACAGAACTTCCGCAATGTGACATGCAACACCTCTCTGTTGCATCTAGTTCTGTCACTCCTATTTGTTATGGAAATTTTTAATGTAGCCATTTAAGGGAGAATGGTGGGAATGTTACTGGACGAATAATGTAGGGGTTAATGCTCGAGTGACAAGGGTTCAAGTCTCTCCATAGCAGCGGATTGAGATTAGTTTTATATTGAATTTAAATTCAGTGATGTTAACCATGACAATCATCAACTGTTGTAAAAACCCATCTGGCTCACTAATGCCCTTTAGGGAAGGAAATCTGCCATCCTTACCTGGTCTGGCCTACGTGTGACATCAGACCTACAGCAATGTGGTTGACTCTTAAACTGCCCCTGAATGGCCTAGCAAAGGCAATTCTTCTACCAATGTTATCAACATCCCAGGAATGATTTAGAAACAGAAACTGCTGGAGAAACTCAGGTCTGGGAGCATCTGTGGTGAGAAAGCACGGTAAACATTTCAGGTACACCGACCCTTCTTCAGAACTCTTCAGAGCATCCTGAAGTAGGGTCATGGGACCCAAAACAGTAACTCCACTTCCTCTTGGGAGATAGAAAGGACTGCAGATGCTAGAAGCTGAAGTCAATAAATGTGGAGCATTTGTGCAAATGTGCAACCATTTCTCACTCTACTCCAAGATGCAGCCCTCCCAGTTCATCCCAGGCTCAGGCACGCTACCCAATCCTGTGACACCTCTCCTAAAACTCAGGACTAGTTCCTCAATGCAGATGACACATTCGCCAACATCCAAATTTGATCTTAATTTGTCTCACACTCAGGTCACAACGTGCAGGTGCTGTGTGTTGGGCAAGGTCAAAAACCATACGATACCAGGTCCAACAGGTCTGTTTGAAAACACAAGATTTTGGAGCATTGCCTGAGGAGGGGGCTATGCTCCAAAAACGCGTGTGTGATCTAATAAACCTGTTGGACTACAACCTGGTGTTGTGTGATTTTTGACTCAGTCACAATGTGAACCAGCTTCCTGACATTTTGTGTGTTTCCTGAACCTTAAAATAAATGTAGCGAATAAAATTAACAAAAATTAAGGCTAAACATTTTTTTTAACATTGCTGAAAAGAGACACATGGTGCTGGCAAAACCTGAAGAAAACATCTGTTGTACAATTCTGCAATTGGACAGCTCTTGATGAACAATCCGGAGTGCACCAATAGCTATACCAACCAACTCATTTGAAAATATTCATTAGCATTCATAACATGGCGCACTTATGTTCACAAGAAACAACATACGGAGTGTCTCCCATTTATGAACATCCAACTAATGAACGCTGGAATTTATGAACATGATCTCATGCATGGCTATGAAACTTAAAGACCCAACACAGGAAAATCCGTTGTACTTACAAATGGCCTCTTCCTATTGTCCTGAACTGTACTACAACTTGTGAACAGACTCCAGAATGGAACTTGTTTGCAACACAGGGACTGCCTATACGTCCAGATTCAGTGACTTTTTTTCTACCAACAGGAATATGTTCGAGCCATATACTTTTCTTTGAAATTACCCAGGAGTGCGAGGAGCTTAAAATTCCCAATTGCTTTCTGTGTAGCAACCACAACCAACCAACCAACGGCACTCTTTTACCTTGTAGTATAAATTGTTACAATTTGGCATTTTTGCATTCGTCCTGATGAGTACAAGACAGAAAGCATCGGCCACATGACCCTTTCTCCAGCAACATTCACATTCTGCACTACCAGGAAATATCTAATACTTAAGCTTGACACAGCTTCCAAATCAAAGAATTCAAGCCTGAAAATATTCAATCGTGGGTCACTTCCCACAGCATTACACACAGGAGGAAAAGCCTTTGTGAGGTCAGGCATAGTGACAGAGTGGCAAACACAAATCTTTTGCAAAAGGCATTCATTGCATTCTATTACTCTGCTGTGGAGAATATATTCAGGACAGTAATGAAATAAGATAACAATTCACTGTATCGTACATCAGTGCATGCTAATTATACCTGCTGATTGAAGGCAGAATTACCCCCTGGCATAGGTAAACAGGATGGAGCCACTTGGAGCAGATCAAGAGGCGAGCCAGGATTGCTGCTTTTGCTATCATTCATGGAATAATTCCACACCAAGGCACTAGGACAACATAAAGTTATTGTCTGCAGGAAGAACAGAAACAGGCATGGAGTTCATTTCTTGTACAAATGTGCAAGCAAAGCTTGAAAGCTAACACGTAAATTAAAACTGCAATGTAGTTATATCCAATGTCCTGAAAAGAGCACAAGAATTAGAATGTCAAATGCTTGCCACATACTGCTAATTCACATAACAACTCTCATAACAGTTAAGCAATATTTTAGATATTCCCTTGCATTGTCATTACCTCCAGGACAATGAGCAAAAGCTGGAAAATAGGATCACGATAGAGAGATAGTTGACAACCAGTGCAGATATGATGGGCTGAATGGCCTCCTTTGTGCTGTGAACGTCTAAGAATTTGACAATCTGTAACATTTCAGCTATGCTTTGCCACCTTGGCATAACAGAAAAGTGACAAATCGGTTTTCCATTATTTGCAGTTTCTGTAAGAGAGCTTCATCATTCGGTGACCATTTGTATCATGCCTCCCTGGGGTAGCACGCTGGAAAACAAGCTCCACCATTCCTAGAGTTGTCACAAAAAGGTAAAGATTGTACCAAAGTACAAAAAAAATTCCACAAATCAAAGCACCGACCAGGTTTTTATATTTAAAAAGAATTAGTATTTCTTACAACCAAATAGATTCTAGTTACAGATAAACAATAATGAACCATCAACATGTAACTGTACTCATTAAAACGCTAATCCCCTTATAAAACACTATTATAAACAGGCAGACACAAAATAACATGGGTGTTACGGGCAGAGGGAAAGACCAGGAAGACAGTTCAATGGTCCCTGTCCGCAGGGTTTGCCGAGTACATCCTTTTGGTTTGTCAGGACTTGCTGCTCCTCAATTTTCCTTCTCCAGGTATTTTTACTTGCTTGCAGGAGGCACAGGGTGACTGGCTCGCACTATAAACTCATTGGCTTCCTGGTTAAAAGCCACAGCGGATGAGGGGCAAGTAACCTGGCTTTCTTCCAGATTAAGGTATTTCTAACCGCAGAGGGAAAGTTTCTTTCTTTCCAGATGTCCGATGGACTCTCTCCAAACGTCCACACATCCATAAGCTGCTCAGCTCCGAGAGCCAATCACAGTGGTCTGGGGAATGGCAACTCATCACCAATCAGCAACTTGTTGCCAGCCAAATCTCCACAAAGTTTTTTTGAGAAGATTTGTAGCTCAGGTTGTGGATGAGGTTGTAGACTTGCTCGCCGAGCTGGTGTGTTTGACTGCAGACATTTAGTCACCCTGCGAGGTAACATCGGCAATGTGCCTCCGGAAAAGTGTTGGTGTTCTGTCCCTTGTTATTTATATGCCTCGGTTTGCTGGGGTGGTTGGCATTACTTCTGGTTCTGTTTTTCAGTGGTTTGTTTATCCGGTCCAGCTCAATGTGTTTGTTGACAGAGTTCTGGTTGGAATGCCAGACCTCCAGAAATTCCCTGGCATGTCTGTTTGGCTTGTGCTATTATGGATGTGTTGTCCCAGTTGAATTTGAGTCCTTCTTTGTCTGTGTGCATTGAGACCAGTGAGAACTGATCATGTCTCTTGGTGGTTAGTTGGTGTTCAATATCCTTATTATCAGTTTTCTTCCAGTTTGGCCTATGTAATGTTTCTCACAATCCTTGCACGGTATTTTGTATATTACATTAGATTTATTGGTTGTGGGAATGGGGTCCTTTATGTTTGACAGTAGCTGTCGTAGGGTGCTTATTAGGGGCTACCCTGATATCTAGGGGTCTGAGTAGTCTTGTGTTCATGTCTGATATGTCTCTGATGTACAGTAGGGTGACTAGTGCGTATGGCCGTATTGTGTCTTCTTGTGGTGGTCTGTCGCGGAGATAACGGCAGATACCCAAAAAGCACAATCTGCTGTTACCTCCATGACAGACCACAACATGAAGATACAACACGGCCAGACACACTAGTCATCGTACTGTACATGTCTACAACCTCAAATCTCCATTTGTATATACGCCTTGGCTCCAGCTCCTTTGTAGACATCCCCCCACAAACAGCAGTATAAACAGCACTTAGTGAGTGTCAAGTAATGAATTTTTTTCAAGAAGTGTAGCAATTCTTTCCACAATCCTTCATTTTTGTAAAACAGTCGTCATTTTCCTATTTCAGTTCACAATCAAAAATGTAGAAAAATAAAAAGATACAGTCTTTACAGGAGGTGCAGCCCACGTACATGCCTGTAAGGCCTCCCTCTAAATGTTATATTGTGTTCCCTCGACCTAACTCCTCAACCACTAGAAATAGTCTTGCTCTCTCTCTCTCACTAAGATGGATAGAGAGTGAGTATCTTGGAAACTTTGATCAGCTCTTTAGCTTCTAAATTGAAGAGACACTTACGTGAGTGAGTGGTCCTTGCATTTTCTATTGCCTTATGATTTCTATTTCTAACAGGCCATTTTGCTCCATGTCTTTTCAAAATCAAAAGCTTGGTAATGGGAGAACACCACTCTGGAGTACTTGGGATTTTAAATTCCAAAATGGGTTATTCAACCTACAGCATCTGCTCCAGACTTAATAATGTTCTGTAGCAAATGCCAAATATTGCAGATGCTGATAATGTGAAATAAAAGCAAAAGATGCTAGAAATTCTTAGCAGGTCTTACAGCTCTTGTCCCGAGAGAGAGAGAGATAGTGTTAATGTTTCTGGACAGTGACTTCTCAATACAATACAATGGGGTGGCACGGTGGCTCAGTGGTTAGCACTGCTGCCTCACAGCACCAGGGACCAGGGTTCGATTCCAGCCTTGGGTGACTGTCTGTGTGGAGTTTGCACATTCTCCTCTTGTCTGCGTGGGTTTCCTCCGGGTGCTCTGGTTTCCTCCCGCAGTCTAAAGATGGGTGGGCTAGGTGGATTGGCCATGCTAAATTGCCTGTAGTATTCAGGGATGTGTAGATGGGGTGCTCCCTGACCTGCTAATCATTTCAGTCATATATTATAATGTATGTTCTGCATTTGCTAATAATTTATGAAGTCTGTAATGCCATTTTCAAAACATTCCCTATCTCAAGGGTCTACTCTAAGAATGTAGGAAATGGGAGTAGGAGGCAACCATTTGGCCCATCAAACTTGCTCCATTTAATGAGATCATGGCTCATTGTCTGCCTCAACAACACTCTCCATAATCCTCAACTTCCCCGAGAAATCAAAAAGTTCACAAAAAAAAAAAAAGAACAACTTTTTTGCCTTAAATACATTCAGCAATGCAGCATCCATGACCAACTGTGGTTGGGAATTCCCAAAGGTTCACAATCTTCCAAGGAAATATGTTTCTCCACATCTAGGTCCTAAATGATTGAACACTTATCCTGGCACAGGGTCTCCATGTTCTGGACTCTCCAACCAAGAGAAGCAGTGTCTTGATATTTTAGCCTATCACACTTTCTTCACTCTGTGTCACTGAGATCGAATCACGTTCATCTACCTGCAGAGACTGCAGGGCTAATTTATCACAGGACTACCCTCAGATCTCACAAATCAATTTAACAAACCTTCACTGTGTCTTCCTCTGATGCCAAGTACTTTCAAAAACACCCAAGCTAGTAATAATGCAGAAGAGAAGATAAACTGGTTAAAATGTCATCCAGGGGAAAACAATCTGAGCTAAATGAAGGTTAAAAAAAAAAATTTATTTGCATCGCCATTTTGTTTCTGGTGACACCTATGCAATAACAGAGGCATATGTGAGACCGCAAAAACCGTGTCACTATCAATGGTCTGTTGAAGAAATTAATTAGTCATTTTTGACCATTCACATTTCCTCTTCACCCCTACCTCAGAGACGGATGTCACTGAAATTAGATTTTAGCAAAGGCATTCAAGAAGCTTGACACCGTCGAAGCCAAAGCAGCGCACTTGATTGGCACCACATCCACAAGCATCCACTCCCTCCACAACAACGTTCAGTACCAGTGTTGTGTACCTTCTACAACATCTTCTGCAGAAATTCACCCAAGATCCTCAGGCAGCACCTTCCAAACCGACGACTACTTCCATCTAGAAGGACAAGGGCAGCAGATACTTGGGAGCACCACCACCTGCAAATTCCCCTCCAATCCACTCACTGAGGTAATGCATCACCATTCCTTTACTGTCACTGGGTCAAAATCCTGGAATTCCCTCCCTACTGGCATTGCGGGTCAGCCCACAGCAGGTGGGCTGCAGTGCTTCAAGAAGGCAGCTCATCACTACCTTCTCAAGGGTGACTTGTCTCAAGGGAGAGACTGGCCTAGTGGTATTATCGCTGGACTATTAATCCAGAGACCTAGATAGTGTTCAGGGGACCCGGGTTCGAATCCTGCCATAGCAGATGATGGAATTTGAATTCAATAAAATATCTGGAATTAAGAATCTAATGATGACCATGAATCCATTGTCAATTGTCAGGAAAAACCCATCTGGTTCACTAATGTCCTTTAGGGAAGGAAACTGCCATCCTTACCTGGTCTGGCCTACACATGACTCCAGACCCACAGCAATGTGGTTGACTCTCAACTGCCCTCTGGACAATAAACGCTACCTGGCCAACGACACCCTCATCCCGTGAATGAATAAAGAAAAGAACACTGGGGATGGGCAAGAAATGCTGGCCAGCCAGCAATGCCCACATCCCATGACTGAATAAAATTTTTTTTTTTAATATATAAATGACCATTAGGGTAACATTGCATTAGGTTTGCCTGCAAGGCATACACTATTGGACATTTGGGAAAGTACTGAAAATTATTATAACCAATGGCATGGGATCTCAGCAAGAGCTGGTTGCCTTGATGACAGCAGGGGGAGGGACAGAGAATACAGAAAGCAACTGTAGCAAATTTGTGGTTTTTTGTCTTCCCGGTAAACCAATTTTTATTGCACCTGATCTAAGCTCAACACTTCAGAGCAGCACTGAGGCAGTGCTGTGCTGTTTGAAAGATCGTATCTTCAACAAGACATTAAAATAAGCCCCCAACAGCCTCAGCTGGTGAACAAAAAGATACTGCATGTGCAATGTAGTT